AGAGATTGGGATGTCAGAAGTCTCTGGAATAGAACAAAAGGTGGAGACCTAGCCCTTTATAGTAATGAGAGTCAAAGATCAGTCCCCAGTCAGCTAGAGAAAAGTGAATTTGTCCCAAGAAAAATCTCTGGATGAAAGCACTTGGACTAACCCCATTAAAGTAGCCTCTTCAGTGTGATGGTACACCTTGTGGCAAGTAGTGACAAATGACAGATTCCACGATTCTGTTCTCTCAGAAGCCATTCTCTTTAAAGCAGCAGTTGCGATGTAGGGTGGCAGACTGGTCCCCAAGAAAGCAGATACAGACATTCTGGAAGGGTCCACAGCATGTATGTTAGTAACCTAGGAAGTGAGCGGTGAAAGGGAAGGAAACTACAGTTTGGAGCCCAAACACACTACCTCTAGTAGTTCCAGGAAAAAGAGGTCTACATTGCAATGCAGAAAGTTCTTTACATTTTATCTGCAAGTTCTGCCCCATCTTAGCCCGTACCACTGCATCTTCATTTGTCAGAAATAGATACAAGGACAGAAAAAGACATTAAATACTTAAATAGATCTTTAAATGATAAATAAGGATTTGTTGGTTTGAATAGATCAGGTGTTAGAAGGAATTACAACTTAAATTACTATGCACCTGCCATTGATACAGTAGAAGCTGTAACAAATAAAAAACTGATACTTACTCCTGAGACCACCAACTCTCCTCCAAGATTCTGAACTTCAGCCTTGACTTTGCTACAAATATTAAGCTGGTGGCAGTAAAGAGCAATGCGCTGGAGATATGCCAAAAGATCTTGTTTGCAGGCAGAATCGGGACACTAAAAGGAAAAAAAAAAAAAAAGCAGTATTATGTACAAACACTGCCAAATTAATCAGTAAATTCTGTTTTGTGTTGCAAAGTATTTTTCAAAAACAACAGGATGTTTTTACCTTACTATAATAATAAACAGTGTATTGGAGGACACTTTTTTTTATTCTTCATATTCTTCTACTACCTTCAGGAGGTTTGGTTGCTAAACACTATCTGGCTACATCCAGCACCACTGAAATAGGGGTAAAACCTGCCCTTTCCTATGGGGCCAGTGCCCCATCAATTCAACAGGGGGGCCAAGGCAGCTAACACCCTCCTACGTGCCACTGATCACTCTGTGTGTCCCCGGCAGTGCTCATGGCCTTCTCCTCCTCCTGCGGGCACAGAGCAGGATCGGATTCTCACCATCCCCCCCCAAAGCACTCGGATTCTCCTGGCCCTAGCTTTCTGCAGAATCAGTCCCCTGGCACCACCTTTCCTGCAGCGCTGCTGACTGGCTTCTCCTCTCCCGACAGCTGTCAGTGGCTGTGGACACACAAGGGGATTGGTTCAAGGATGGAGAATGAGTACTGTATTTGGAGGTTAAATCTTTTTTCCTTCAGATGTAAAAGAGTATGTTGATCATATCCCCCCTAAATCTTCTCTTCTCATGAAAAGAATACATTAATCTTTCCTCAGCTCCTCCATGTCTCTCATCAGTTTGGTTGCCCTTCTCAGCAATTTTTCTAGTTCCCCAATAGTTTTGTGAACTGGAGTCCAAAACTAAACTGCATTTTCTAGGTAAGGTCTTTCTAATGATTTGTACAGGAGGGCACAGGGGTTTAGTCTATAGGGACGCAGTAGCTGTACAAACACAAAAGGTCCTAATCTGACAGTTGTACAGGTTCAAGTGAGCAGCCCTGAATGTGCACGGTCAGTGTTTGCTGCGGTACACATGCACCCACATGCCTGTCACATTAGGACCTGTGGCTGTGTTCATGTAATATTAATTTTTATTATCTAAATTTTAATTCGGTCTTTAGTAAGTTCTGAAATATATGCCTGGCAGAGAATATACCCTCTTAATTGGATGTGAATGCGAGGTTTTGAAATTGAGTAGCAACAGATGTGAATTATTTGTGTCTGGGCTAGGTAATTAGTATAGGTTTAAATTCATGTTTTCTTTAAGCCTAGTCTATGTAATTATACCTTATTTTGAATTCTTATAATGAGTCAGAGTTTAAATTGTATTCATAAATCATGTATTCAGACAGCTGTATGTAACATAAGAACTTCAGAGATCTCTTTCATAGTATTCATGTCAATCATGATAATGACTTGGTTGTTTGAATAGTAACACATGTATACTGGGAGTTGACTAGGGGAGTGTTTAAGGAGCCCGCGAATTTGAAACACAGGATAATGGGAGGAGGACTTTGTTTTTTTTTGTGCATTTTAAGTATGCATGCCATTCAAGGAACTAAGCTCAGTTGCTCCTATCTACTCTATACTTCACTTCATTCAGACATACCTACACTTCAGACACTTACACAAAGGAGCACATAGCATGCTTGAACAAAGGACAAAGAACAGCACATGGACAACTCTTAAGCTAGGCCAAAACTTCTATATAAGCTACACAAAGGAACTACATTATCTTCTCATAGTCAAGGAACAAGCAACTTATATTTTATTTATTTTTTATTTATTTTTATTTCATTTTAAGCTACATATCTTTTTGTATCTGAATTTACTGTTTTATATTGACTTTGTATTTTTTTGGTGTGTGATCAAATAAAGTCACACTGCTTATTCTTAACTGGCTTCCATAAGGATTTCTTCCCACAACCATCTACAAGAACCTAGAAATACTAAGTTTTTTCACAACTCTTGAAATTCTACAGTTCATACAGCTGCTGGTTCCTCATAACATACTGTCTGTCAGTAACATAGGCTGTCTGCATACAGCTCCAGCCACACTACCCATGTGAATGAGCGCAAAGACCTCATTCACACACAGAACTCCTCAATATTTTTGCACGTTATGTTGTGTTTGTGTCCGCTAATAATGGTTTCAGTGTATATTTAGTGGAAATATTTTAATAAACACTTGTACAGCACACAATTGCGGGACAAAAAAAAAACAAAAAAAAAAAAACAAAAAAAAAAAAAACTTTCATTTTACCAGTCCTACGGTATGGTTTGGCATGTATTTAGCAAACTCTGAAGAAAGGAATGGGTGTGATACAAGAAGTGCCATCATCCCTAGAAGATTGGAGAAGCCCTCTTGTTGGTGGGATTTTTAAGGCACACAGACCAAAAAGTGTTCTAACAAATCATTTAAAAGGAGAGCCGTATTTTATTTGGAGAAAAAAAAAGAAAAAAAAAAAAAGACAATTACAAAGTATGGCGGCATCACCAGACGTGATTTTACAATGAATATGCAAAAATGAGCCATGCATGTATTTACACTTGATGCGTTTCGAGTCCAATCTCTTCTTCAGAAGTGCTAAAAAAAAAAAATGACACATGCAGGAGAGAAGAGTATAGAAAAAAAAAACGCCAATGGGTTAAAACCATTAAGTGAATGCAGCCAGTGATTCCATAATCCACTCAGGACAGAAGTGGAAAAAGAGAGAGAAACAAGGAGAAACAACCGCCGCTCCGTCGTACCCTGGAGGTGCCCCGCCATAGCCACCAAGTGGCGAACAAAAAAAGTTGTCTGGTCACGAATATTATTACAGATGATATGAGGGTGCAAAAGTGGCAAGGAGTGCTTGGAGTAAATGGATGATGACTTTGAATCCTAATCCCATAGGGAAAAGATCTTTCTGGTATTATATGCCAGGTCTGCTGAGGCAACGTGTAACTTTCTGGTATTATATGCCAGGTCTGCTGAGGCAAGGTGTAACCATGGCTGCGTGATTCTGCTCTCTCCTGGTTCTCCACTTACCTTTCTCAGTGTACTTTCAGCATCACAGAAAGAGGAAGAGGAGCAGAAGATGAGTTTTTGTCTATTGGGGTACCCTCTTGTACTTGGGCCGATCCTTTTCCCTCTTTCTACACCTCCTCCCTGGGCCAATTGATAACCTCCTATGGCTTCCAATACGAGTTTTATGCGGATGACACCCAGATCTATCACTACACTCCCCGGCTCACCCCCTCAATCTCCACGTATAACAAATCTACTGAACGACATATCAGTATGGATGTCACCACTCCCTTAAACACAATCTTTCCAAAACCAAGCTTGTAATATTTCAATCTCCCGATGATCCCCCACTCATAACTTTACCATTAAAATCAACAATACAACCATTGGTCCTTCCCCTCATGCCAGGGTGCTAAGTGTAATCCTAGACTCTGACCTCCCTTTCGGGCCCCACATCCAATAACTGGCTAAATCTTGCCACCTCAACCTCCGCAATATTTCCAAAATCAGTCCCTTTCTGACCAATGACACCACAAACCAACTAATCCACGCCTTGGTTAAATCCCACCTTGGATTACTGCAACTCCCTCCTCACTGGTCTACTGTTACACAGGTTATCCCTTCAGTCTATTATGAATGCTGCTGCTGCTGCTAGATTCATGCACCTTACCAACCGATCAGTGACTGCTGCCCTCTCTCTGCTAGTCCCTTCACTGGTTTCCACTAACCCAACTTATAAAAATTCAAAATACTAACCACAACATACAAAGCCATGCATAACACTGCCCCTAGCTACATCACCAACCTCATCCGCAGATTTAGTCCAAATCGCCCGCTCCGCTCCTCCCAAGACATCTTGCGCTCAAGCTCCCTCGTCATCTCCTCCCACGCTCGCCTCCAAGACTTCTCCAGAGCCTCTCTCATCCTCTGGAACTCCCTACCCCTGTATGTACAGTCAGCCCCCACCCTGTTTGCCTTTAGACAATCTTTGAAAACGCACTTATTCGTGGAAGCCTACCCCACCTCCATCAGATCATCCCTGGAGCGATCACTTATTGTACCACCTTCCCCCTTCCTTTAGATTGTAATGTATTGTATTGTAATGTCTCCCTTTATATTGTAAAGCGCTGCACAAACTATTGGCGCTATATATAAATCCTGCAGAATAATAACTGTAGTTTACCATTCCTTAAAGTGCTTCTAAAGGCAGAAGGTTTTTTTTTACCATAATGCATTCTATGATCGGGGATGCTCTGTGCAAAATCACTGCACAGAGCAGGTAAGTATAACATATTTGTTAACCTCCCTGGAGGTATTCCCGAGTGTAGCTCGGGGTAAAGTTTCAGCACCACAAGCGGTACCCTGGGCTACACTGGGGAATACCTTGCAGCGCTGCTCCGGGATCTCTTCTTCACTTACCTTGTTCTTCGCTCCCGCGATGTCCCTCCTGCAGTGGGACACTGCAGGAGGGACATCGCGGAAGCGAAGTACCAGGTAAGCCAGCATCTGTCTTCCGGGTTCTGTTCCCTGCGATGTCAGGATGTACGGGGACAGAACGGCGGGAAATTTAAAAATGTGACATTCACTAAATACAGTAATGTTTTACTATGTGATTTTAGTGTATCAAAGCATTTCACATACATTTTGTCCCTAGTGCTTTGTCCTGTGCCCTGCCTGCATTTTTACTGTTCTTTCTGCCTGAAAACTGAGAAATGTCCATGGCGTCCAAAAAGCATCCCTTTAGGTCAAAAGCGGCTTTAGACAGCGATAGTAAATTAGAACTACTTGCAGAATTGAGTGATGATTCCTGGGGAAATTCCTCAGACACTGAAAACGATTTTGCGACTTTGCTCAGTGATGTGCGAAATTGGCGCTATATTTCAATGTCAGTGTTTTTGGTTTGATTATATTATTGAATTAAAATTATATTATTTTTTATGATTATTTATTAAATTATAATTTATGATTTCGTGTTTCAAATTTTAACTAGACTCTTGTTCGGACAGATTTCAGTAAGTTATTCCTAAAAATTACAGGACTACAATAAAAAAAAAACATATTTCCATGCAAAGAAATGTACCGCTTTGAGCACAGAAATACTGACATAATCAGACCGCTAGGGAGGCTACGAAAAAAAAAAAAAAATGACAACCTTTAGAATTACTTTAAAATGTGGTGGCTGCATTCCTTTTCTCCCTATTTTCACCTGGTGATCTGCTTAAAAACACATTTGCTGTCTTAGGAAGGCTCCTCTACCTATGGACAGCAGCATCATCTGAAGAGGATAAGGTCATATGAACTAGTAGATTTGGATAGACGTCATATAAGTGACTAGCATAGACGTTATATGAGTGACTAGCAAATTAAAGTCCAGCATCAGTTAAAACTTTTTAATCAGCTATGGAAACATTTTTCCTTTAGGAAAAGGTTTTACATCAATTGATAAAAAGATGATTAGAAGAACTCCTGTCAGTAATAAATGGTTTGTCTCAACCCTCTTAACTTGCACTTTGGTGCACAACTTAATCTGTTAAAGGAAGTTGAAAAATAACAACAGGATGGGTAAAAAAATGTAACTACTTTGTTATTGCTAGCGAGTCTGCATTCTACTCTTTTTTTTTTTTTTTTTTTTTTAAACCACAAGCCTACAGGGCACTTATACCCCCTTCCTGCCCAGGCCAATTTCCAGCTTTCAGCGCTGTCGCACTGTAAGTGACAATTGCGCGGTCATGCAACACTGTATCCATATGAAATTTTTTATCATTTTTTTGTGACAAATAGAGCTTTATTTTGGTGGTATTTAATCACCTCTGGGTTTTTTATTTTTTCTTACAAAAACCACTGAAATTTTTGGAAGAAAAAAAAGACCCTGGTTGGGTCTGTCACAGTTTGGGGATGGCCCCTGTGACAGACCCAACCAGGACAGGGGCTTTTGGAGGGGAAAAATGGAAACAAGAGTGCACTGGCCTAGCATATTATCCAAGATAAGTTTATTGAAATATAATTAAAATATACTCACAAACAAGAAGTGCCATCCAAGGAAAGCCTCATGCGTTTCGAGGGAAACTCTCTTCCTCAGAGCCAAGGGAACCAGAGCCCCATCTCACACTAAATACCCTAGAGTCATGTGCTGCCGACTCGTAGCTCCACCCTCCCACAGTGGGCAAGGTCAGTTGTGCATATATCAAACCACATTACTTAAAAAATTATGAATGAATGAATAAACCCGATTAGCAGTTACAATACATGAAAACACCAGCATAGCCAATATACATGTACAGTTGATACAAAAAGTCTACACACCCCTGTTAAAATGTCAGGTTTCTGTGATGTAAAAAAATTAGACAAAGTTAAATATTTTCAGACCTTTTTCCATCTTTAATGTGACCTATAAACTGTACAATTTAATTGAAAAGCAAACAAGCAAACTGAAATCTCTTTTTTTTGGTGGGGGGGAGTAAACATAAAAAACTAAAATAGGGGAGCGTGGCCACGCAATGGTGGTGTGAGGATGTGCGTCTCCGGAGCTCCACACCCTCCCGATTGCAGTCTGGTCGTCACTGACTCCCCATCCCCCCTATCATGTCCAAGGGGGCCAGGAAGCCTCAGGGTACAGGACCGGTAACCCGAAGCTCCCCAGTCCTGGGCTTTTCTCTCCCCAGACTACATGGGTCTGCAGAGGCAGCGCGCGCGGGGGAGCTCCTGGATGGGTCCCTACCCTTACTTTCGGATGAGTGGCTGATGCCCCCGCCATCCGTGGACCTCCTCCGGGATGACCTAGCCTCCTGACCGGAGGACAGGTTGTCCCCCCCTGGCCGAATGCCTTGGGCCTCCCGTTCGGCCTAACGGATCCGGAGGCACAGTCTTTTCTGGCTACCCTGACTACTAAAGACGACATTCAGATGCTTGCCTTAACGCTGCGGCAGGCTGTAAGGAGGAATTTTGGGAGGTTAAAGATACTCTGAACTCTCTCACTGTAGATGGGCTTGCTACTAATCAAACAGTGGTGGAGATGAGGATCTCGGCCCTGGAGACCACCATGTCACAGTATTGGGACCATTTGTATTCCCTGAGCCAACATCAGGATGATCTTGAGAATAGGAGTAGGAGGAATAACCTTAAGCTGTAGGGGGGGGGGGTATTCCAGAGGCTACACCCCCTATTGCTCTCAGAATCACGGTTACAGCCAAGCTTGAACACACTTTTAGATAGAGCACCTACTGAGGCCCTGCAGCTTGATAGGGTCCATCACATACAGGGTCCTGCTCCCTTGGATGCTGGGAGCCCCTGTGATACTTTGTGAAGGGTGCATTTTTACAACATAAAAGAGGAGATCCTGAGAAGAGCCTGGCGCAGGGGTCCAGTGGACTTTGATGGGGCATCTATTCAAATTCTGCCCATTCTCGTCGCACTCTACAGGTGAGACGTATTCTAAAGCCTCTGTTGGATAAGATTCGTGAAGCTGAAGCTACCTATCTCTCTGTGCGGAAATGTGAATGTTCTATGATGGTTCATACTACTGCTCAGTTGCCGGATCTTTTTGCTCTTCTGGGGGGTCTCGCCTATCTAGGTTCCGGATTGGACAGCCTTGGATCTGCTTGTGCAGCCTACCCCAACGCCACAGCGGCCTCAAGCTTCCTATATCAGAAGGAACAGACCCATACCTGAATGGTTAGATCCACAAGGGAGAGAAGTGTAAAACTACCAGCTGGTGACTCTCTCGGAGACTTCCTTTTTTTTTTTTTTTCGTGATGCACTTATGACCTTTTGGCCTCTTTCTTACACCATGTTTCTTAAAAATGTTGATTTGTCTATATTTGTCTCCAGGTGCTGTGTGGGGCTTGATATTCTTATATCAAAATGTTAGTAAACAGTTTTCCGTATCAAGTTTTTCTCTCAATCAGGGGGCCTGGCCTGCCGAGGCTTTAATGGCTGGCCGGTCAGGGCTGACTTCCGGTTGTCGGAATCTTGGGTTTTCCCCTTTGGGCGTATTACTAGATTGCCATGTTCCTTGGTTTGGGGTGGGAGCTGTATGTGTTTCAAATGATTTCTTTCTTTTTTTATCGTTCTGGATGGTGTGTCTCCATTTCTGTTGGGGCGTACTTTCCCCTCACAATAGGAATTGCTTCCTCCGGTGCTCCCCCTTTTGGTAAGGGTCTCGGAGGAAGTAGGCCCGGTTGAGGCCCCATATTTAGTTGGTCGTTAGACCTTGTACTTGAATTTGTTCTTTGCTTTTGTCACTCTTCCCCCCCCCCCCCCCCCCCCCCTTTTTTTTTCTTCCCTCTTCCCTTTGTAGTCATGTCAGTTTTTCTCCACCATTGATTCCCCCAGTTGTACTCCCCCTAGTATGTATGATGCATGAATATTTTTAGCCTCCAAGTGCATAACTTTACATTTATCAACATTAAACCTCATATGCCACAGTTGCCCAAATAAACAGTGCGGTGAGCTCAGCTTGTAAGTTATAGACATGGTACTTTTAATCCCAGACCCTGTATCATTTATAAATATATTAAAAAGTAAGGGTGCCAACATTGAACCTTGAGGTACACCACTAATAACCTTAGACCATTCAAAGTATAAATCATTAACCACTATTCTCTGAATACGTTCTTTTAGCCAGTTTTCTATTTACAAACGGATTTTTCCAAGCCTGTAGACTTTACCGTATGTGGGGAACACACGTGTGTCTGTCAAAACACTTATTAAAAAAAAAGATATCAAATTTGTTTGACAACTTCTGTCTTTCATGAATCCATGCTGGCTATTTCTTAAAATGTTTTTTCTAGCAAAAACTCATCGGTGATCTTTTAATAAACTCTCCAGTATCTTCCTAACTATAGCAAATAAACGAACAGGTCTATAGTTACTTGGTAAAGACTTTGAGCTCTTTATAAATATAGGCACCACTTTGGGGTTATGCAACCCAGTAATACTATGCCAGTCATTAAAGAGTCCCTAAAAATTAGAAATGATGACTTTTTAATGGCAGAGCTCAATTCTTTTAGGACTTATGGATGTATGCTATTTCGTCCAGGTGCCTTATTCACCTTTATACTGTCTATTTTCCCAAATGTCTACATTTTCCCAACCCCGGCTCCACCTGCCTGGCGTTTGCATGTTCTCCCTGTGACTGCATGAGTTTCCTCCGGGTACTCCGGTTTCCTCCTACACTCCAAAGACACGCTGGTAGGTTAATTGGCTCCTGTCTAAATTGGCCCTAGTATGTATATGTATGAATGTGAGTTAGGGACTTTAGATTGTATGCTCGAGGGTTAGGGACTGATGTGAATGTACAATATATGTATGTAAAGCGCTGCGTAAATTGATGGCACTATATAAGTACCTGAAATAATTTTACATTGCTCTTACTATAGGAAGCCTTTCCATACGTGGAGGTGGAAGATTTTTCCAGCAGACATAAAGAGTGCCCCCTTGTCCTTTGTAGTGACCTTAAAATGAATAACACCATATATGGACCACATATATTTATACATGTTGATCATCATCCCCCGTAATCACCTGTTCTCAAGAATAACTAAATTCAGTTCAGCTAATCTTTCCTCATAGCTGTGTTCCTC